GGGCTGGTTCAGGCCCGTTATCTGGACTATTGGACTGGACCTGGGACAAAATGAGAAAGGAAGAAAAGAAAAAAAAAATAAATAAATAAATAAAAATAAGTAATAAATTAAAATAAAAATAAATAGTAATAATATTATATATAACGTTTTCAAAAACATATAATATAAATTTTTAAAATGTTTTAAAAAACTATATATTATATATATTTCAAAATGGTTTTTAAAATTATATTATATAAATGTTTTCATAACATTTTCAAAAGTATATATTATATATTTTAAAAACGTTTTCAAAAACTATATATTATATAATTTTCAAAAAAATATATTTTCAAAATGGTTTTTTTTTAAATTATATATTATATAAATGTTTTCATAACGTTTTCAAAAGTATATATTATATATATTTTAAAAACGTTTTCAAAAACTATATATTATATAATTTTCAAAAATATTTGAAAAACTATATAATATACATATTTTCAAAAAATGTTTTAAACTATATATTATATATGTATTTTCAAAAACAATTTGTAAACTACATAATATATATGTGTATATATGTATAAAAAAAATGGACGGAAATTAGTGTCTACATAGACACGTTAAATTTCTAACGGTTAGTTATTAAAATGATAAAAAAACTAAATGTATGATTAGCAACCATTGTGTGTTGCGGCAATGGTGCAACGAGCAACTTTTCCCAAGAGATTGCAATGGTAAGAAGAATATGCAAATTCAATTGAGAATTTTGAAACACATCTTTTTATAAGTAGTCACGATATACAATCTTTGACTTAGTTATCTGCCCTTATTTTTTATTTTTTTTATTGAAATTTCAAGTTCAATATTACATCTTGAAAAGGTTAATACACAAAATATATATCAGAAAGAAGAAATTATACATTTAATACCTAAACTATTAATTTTAGTATGTTTTAATATCTAATTTTTCAATTTTTCAAAACCATACTTAATGTTTAGTTTTTGTATCATTTTAGTATCACCATCGTTAAAAACTTAACGTGTTTAGTACTTAAACTATCAGTTTTGGTCCGTTTTAATACCTAAAATTTCAATTTTTTTCAAAATTTAACGTTAAATTTTGAACATATTTACTAAAATGAAACAAAAAAAATAAATCTTAGGTGTGGTTTTGAAATTTTTGAAAATTTAAATATTAAAATAGACCAAAACTAATAGTTTATGTATTAAATGCATAATTTACCTTAAAATTTGATTGAAACTGACTACACACATCTTATCAAACATGTATTTGGGAAGAGAATAATGACATCATGACAAGTGATATTCGAATACTTTTTTATCAGTTTAATTTTAATGACTCGAGATGAGAACATCACAAAACTAAATGACATAGAATGTCACGTTTTAGATAGGACGAATAAATGAATTCCACGTCAAAAAGAAAAGAATTTTTTTTTCCTTTTTTGAATAATTTTTATCTAAAAAAGAAAATGTGAAAGCTTTTAACCACATGCTCTAGAGATTATTGATAAAAAAATCTTAAAATTTATAAATAATTAATATACACATTCTACCAAATACATCTTTTGAGAGAAAAATAATGAATTAAAATAGTTAATAAATTATTTAAAATCATCGACAGATATTAATAAATTTCAAAATTGCTTTCAATTTAACGTATAATACAAAATCGTCGTCAACTGCTTGTCACCGGTCAAAATGAGATTATGTTTCATTTTAGGACAAATTATATATTTAGTACTTAAATTATTAATTTTGATTCGTTTTAAGATTTAATTTTTTTTAAATCATACCTAACGTTTAACTTTCATTTCGTTTCAGTGTCATGTCGTTAAAAACTTAACATGTTTAAAACTTAAACTATTAGTTTTAGTTAGGATTGTAAACAAACCAAACAAACACGAATGAGATTATGTTCATGTTCGTTAGTTTAACTTTAACCGAACAAATGAAAGAACACAAACAACTAAAAGAACATAATTTTTTGTTCGTGTTCGTTCATTAATAAATTTAGCTTGTTCATTAAAATGATAAACGAACATAAATAAACGAACGTAAACGAACACAAACGAACAAACATTAAATTAATTAGATTGATATTTGAGAAGAGGTTTTTTCTTAATAATTTTAGGATTTATATTTTCTTTAATTGATTTAAATATTTTTATTTAGGTTTAAAATTAGGATAAATTACACATTTAGTACCTAAAGGTTCAATTTTAGTCCGTTTTAATACCTAAAATTTTATTTTTTTTCAAAATTATGCTTAAAATTTAGTTTTCGTTTCATTTTAATATCTATCATTCAAAACTTAACGGATGGAGTGACGTGGGATTAATATTCCGTTATTGATTTTCCACACAATTTTATAATTCACGTCAGCTACACACGTGGAAAAGTGGAAAATGAAGGGTGAAATATATTCACGTGCTTATTTAAGGGATGAAACCCTAAAATGTAAAGTGTGTTTCTTCTTCTTCTTTCTCCCACAACATCCTATGATGCAAGCACAAAGCTTCATCGAAGAACCCATTTTTCGCGTACCCTCTAATTAAAAACATTCCAAGAAAAAAAAATTCTCTTTCTAGCATTTTACCGAACACGTACCAAGCATCACATAGTTTCCCGAACCTCACAAACATACCCAACAAAACATTACCATGCCTACGACTCAAAGAGTTACTTGAATTCGATATAAAGAAGTAAACCTTAGATCCTTATTCGATAGCTCTCTTCCACTCACAAAATCTCACCATAGCAATTGCCGCGTCTTCATCTAATGGAATCTGTAATTCTTGCATTGGCTCCAGGTACTCCAGAGATTCTTGAAGTTTCGCATTAATACAGAGAAGGTGGAGATGTTAGTTGGGTTTTTTTTTGTTCGGGGAATTATTAGAGCTGCTGCCGAGGTTGCGTTGAGGAGATTTGGAGGGGTTTGCGGTTTTTTTGAGAAATTTGGGGATTTGGGGTTTCTTGTTTTGATTCGGATAGGGTTATGAGGTCGGGGTTGATGAGGGTTCGAGAGCTCTCTTAAATAATCTCCTCAACGTTTTCTTCTTACTTGTTGCCCCCCCCCCCCGATGCCTTCATTTGTCTCTGGAAGAAAAAAGAAGAAAGAAGAAGAAGAAACACACTTTAGATTTTAGAGTTTCATTCCTTAAATAAGCACGTGAATATTTTCACTCTTTATTTTTCACATTTCCACGTGTGTAGCTGACGTGGATTATAAAAATTATGTGAAAAGTCAATAACGGAATAATAATTCCATGTCACCCCGTCCGTTTTGATATGATTTTAAAAAAAAATGAAACTTTAGGTATTAATACGGATCAAAACTAAAACTTTAGGTATTAAATGCGTAGTTTACCCTTCAAATTAATTGTGTTTTAAAATATCAATGGAAGTAAATTTAAAATTTATTACGTATTAATATTTCAAATGTGTCTAGAAATTGGGCTAAATATAAACGAACGAATATAAGTGAACGTAAACGAATATAAATGAACAAACATAAACGAACAAATTACTGAAAGTTCACGAACATAAACGAACAAACGAGTCATTTGTTCGTGTTCGTTCATTTAATTAAACGAACATAAAATCTTTTTCATGTTTGTTCGTTTAATAAAAAAATGAACATAAACGAACTTCCTGCATAACGGTTCACGAACGGTTCATTGATTGTTCGGTTCGTTTACAAACCTAGTTTTAGTCTGTTGTAGTACATAAACTTTCAACTTTTTTAAAAAAAAAACTTAACATTAAATTTTGAAGACGATATTGAAATGAAACAAAAATAAAAGTTTTTAATGATGAGTACTAAAATGAAATAAAAACTAAACTTTAGGTACTAAATGCATAATTTACCCTTCATTTTAACATAAATCACTATTTTTTTGGTAAACTAAATAAATGGACGCCGACTATAAGATAATATTTTATTGAGTCCCTTGACTATTAAAAGATAAAAAATGACCCCTAGACTATAGGGGATTACTGTTGAGTCCTTCAATTTTTAAAAGTTACAAAATGGACACTCGACTATTCATTATGTTCCAAACTCATCATTTTTCGTTAAAAAATTAATGATCATCAAAGTTAGATGTTAACATGCTAATTGAGGTATGATATTCATTTGAGATTATGAGATCAAATTTTATTATATCTCAATCAACATGTTAACGTACAACTCAAATTACCATCAAAATTTTAATAAAAAAAGACGAGTTTGGAATATAATTAATAGTTGGGTGACTATTTTGTAACTGTTAATAGTCGATAGACTCAATAAAACAACTTCCTATAGTTTGGAGACTATTTTGTAACTTTTAATAATCAGGTGACTCAATAAAGCATTATCTTATAATCGGGAGACCATTTGTGTACTTTACTCCATTTTATTAATTTTTCCCCCTAAATAAACCTTAAAAAGAAGAGAGAGAGCGTACAGAATGAGCACAATAAGATTGGAACAGACAATCACAACCAAAACAAGCTATTCTTAGGCAGTTGGTAACTTGGCATAGAAAGCCTACCATATTATTCCTTTTTTATTATACTCAGTTTTCTATTATTCTTTCTTCTTCTCCAAATTAATTAAAAAAGGGTAAATTTAACGCTTACTCATTGAACTTTATTCTCTCTGTTATTTCACTCACCGTACCTCAATTTTTTCAATTTGCTCATAACTTTAGACTTTGAACTTTTTTTATCACTCGATCGTTAAATTTCTAATAACGTTAAATTAAAATTGAAAAAAAAATACAGTAAGCGAAATAGGAGAAAGGGTAGATTTAAGTGAGTAAATGTGTGGCATGTTTTATTATTAAAATAAGCCACATAAGCATCCCGTCACTGAGAAAACAATTGAGTGACCAAAAGTGTTCAATGTCTAAGGTAGTGATCAAATTAAAAAAATTGAAAGTACGGTGGATAAAATAGGATAGAGAGTAAAGTTAAGTGAGTAAGTGTGTAGTTTACGCTTAAAAATAAAATTAAATCTTTAAACACCATATATACTAATTTATCCCCAAACAGAAAATCAAATTTTCATATGAACAGATTAAATTCTTAAAGCACTAAGAAACAAAAACTAATCTTTTTTGTTTTTGGTTTCTCTCTTCAATCCTCCATCAAAGGTTAGTGTTCGTCCTCAAATTTGATGATTTGAAGTATTCATTTTATTTTCATTGTATATTTCTGATTATGAACACAACTTTAGTTTTTGTTTGATTTACTGCTTTCTGTCCTCTCTTTTTTCTTTTGTAATTGTTGTTATTTTTGTCTTCTGTTTGGCTACTGAGAAAATGGTGGATACGTAGGCAGAAAGGAAGAAAGGTGGTTGAATGAATGTCTATTAATTTTTTATTGTTCTTAATTCTGATTTTGAAGGTAGAAAGAGTTTGAACTTAGCAGATCACTTTAATTTTTTCCCGAAAATTTTGATTTCCTTTTTCCTGCATTTTCTTGCTCATCGAACAGACTCCTGACTGTGTTGTTTTGTTTATTTACTTTAAACAAATTTTACAAGTATGATTAACGCTCGCATTAGATCTTTTTGTTGTTCTTTTCGTTTAAAATGTTTTCCCCCCCTAATCCAAAGCATGAATAACGTTCGCTAGGATATTTTGATTGTATTCTTATGTTTTTTAGTGTTTAATTTGTTTTTATGAATTAATCACCTTATTCATTTGTCAACGTCTGCGATCAAATAGGGATCATGAGATTCAAGAAAGGGACCAAAGTAGAAGTCTTGAGCAGAAAAGAGGTACCATCGGGCTCCTGGCATTGTGCTGAAATAATCAGTGGCAATGGCCACAACTACAAGGTTAGATATGAAGGTTATTCCAATGCGACTAACAAGACAATCATGGATAGGGTATCTAGGAAAGCTATTAGACCTTGTCCTCCTGCACCAGCAGTTTCATATAATTGGGTTCCTGGTGATATTGTTGAGGTTTTTGACAACTTTTCTTGGAAGATGGCAACCGTTTTAGCGATTTTGGAGAAAAAGTACATTTTGGTTAGGTTGCTTGGATCATCTCTGGAGTTTAAGGTCAGTAAATTAGACGTCCGTGTGAGACAATCATGGCAAGACAATGAATGGGTTGTGATTGGAAAGGTACTTCCTATCTTAATCTATGTCCCTCCCGCATTTGAAAATTTTAAGTTTTCAAAACTATTTCAGCATTCACTTTTTTTTCCAGTTAAATGAAATTATGTTATACAAGGTTTATATATACTATGTCCATCTTTAGTTTCCAAATGTATTTCACGCTTTTGTAAGTTGGGGTTAGCTTGAATATTCTCATTTGTCAAATCTAAATGGCATCCCTTCATTCGGACAGTAACCCTTCTTGATCTAAGTACTATCTATTATTTTTATTATGACAAATGTGATATCAAACTCATATGTTTGGTTCTTGTTCCACAAGCCAAGATATTTATATTATTTATGTCTACATGCAGGGTTCTGGCAGTTGTGAGGATGTGAAACACGGTGAAAATTCCACCCTTGGATACAACCAAAAGTCTAGCTCCCAATTTCAAATACCATTAGAAGGACAAATAGGCATGTGAAGGATGAATGTGGTCCTGTTAACACAAAGGTTAATTACCAAGATTCTGTTATTGCTTCCTCAAAAACTCTAAAAAGAGGATGCTACTCTCAGGTTGAAGCTCATGCTGCTGGTAGACAGAAGCTTAGAGCAGTTGAGAGAAATAAAAGATTGTATCGACTGGTTGTTGCAAATCCATCCGTTCTTGAACAGGTAGATGCTGTTGTTTTCCCAAGAGATAAGTCGGGTGAAACATACATACATGCTTCTCTTAACAGCAGAACGGGGTTGTCTGAAGTGCATGGAGACAGGAGAAGACCAAATGGTGCTGTTGGATGTTATTTTGCTGAGCATTTAGAAATAATGACGCTGATAGTGTTATGTGCTCTGTTGGTAGTTGTAGTGCGAGTGGTAAAAATTTCAATAGGTTACCTCATTGTGTTCCTACAGGTCCTATCAAAGTTGATAATGGTGAATGGAGTGATGCTGAATCTTTTTGTCCAAGGGTAGACAGGGAAGGAAATTGTCTCCTTCCTACAAAAGAACTCACAGCCAAGATCCATAAGATAGAGTTACATGCCTATCGTTGCATTTTGGAGGCCTTGTATGCATCAGGGACTTTAAGTTGGGAACAAGAAACTTTAGTGACAAATCTTCGTCTTTCACTTCATATATCTAATGATGAGCACTTGATGGAGCTAAGAAACTTAGTTTCCGCTGATAGCAGCATTCCTATAAGATAACATGGAGTGTCTGTGTTCCCCCTTTGTTTCTTCCCTTAGAATTAGTCTTGGATAAATAATTACCCTGGTGGCTACCTCAATTGTATCAAGCTTGATGAAATATGCTATCAATTTTCCTCATTTACGTATAGAGCGTGTAGTGGTATATTTTGAAATGAAGGTATCACAACAGAAAATGAAGACCGTTAAATGTTTCTGAGATGAGCATTGTGTGACAGTTCTTCCATCTCTTCTTCTCTCCCTCATTTGTACATTTATTTTAGCAAACAGAACTTTGAGAAATAGCATATCGGAATTTTCCAACAATTGAGCAGATATCAAGAATGCATTTTTCTGATTGTTCTCTTCTGTATATTTCTTGCACAACTGATCTATTTATGTTTTTCTTGATATTTGATTTGATTAATATTAAGGAAATATGTGTCAAGTTTTCATATTGATGTCAGTGTTCTCAGGGTATGATACTCTGTTTAAAGACTAATCATTCTCAGGTCGAGGCAATTATTGATGCTTCCCCCTGTATTTTCCAGGGCAGAAGGAGGCTTAGACACCTTCCTTCCAAATACCTGAACTCTGAAGATGATTTCTGGGTTTTACACCGTTCTCTTGCTTTTCAACAATGGGACAGTTTTTGTTGGGGAAGTTATTTCGAGGCACTAATTTCATTAGCATGTGGCTTGTCGGAATCTTCTATTTCAGGTCTGATGTGAGCCCTAGATATCTGTGTTCCTGAAGGATGTAAGATCAGAATCTTGTGGGTGCCATGGGATGACCTGATATCTGGAATTCTCCAAAAGGTTTTCTTTTGGACCGTCATATAAGCTTTTTAATGTTGTTTGACATTCTGCTGGGACATGCATGTTGCACTTTATTTTCCGCAAAGTAATCGTGCCGAGATCTTTACTTCTCATGCTTTCTGTATTTTTCATTTCATAACTTTTTTTTTTCTTTTTTGCTTGTTGATAATGGATGGACCGAAATTTTTAACAGGATTGGTAATGATCTTGCAAAGAGCAAGCATCAGATGAAAATCGAAAAGACATCTTTTTGTGAATTTGGGAAGTATTGCATAAACCATGGTCACACGGCATCTCTTGTTCAAGCCGCTTGAATGGCTGTAAAATAGAAATGTTATTAGCTTATCTGTGAAGGTAACTCCTCATGTGCAGTTTTTGCCAGTTAAGCCTGAGTCTGCTTTTCGATTTCTCGAAACAATGTGAAAAGATCATATCGTTTCTATCCGATAAGATCTTTGTCAGGCACAACTGAAATCGTTACCACAGTTATTTGTTTCACAATCGAATAAGCATGTTGTCTGTCCATAAACACGCACAGGGAAAACTGAATGTGACATGATAGCATTTCCCAGTAGCTGTTGCTTCCTTAGAGAAATGCATCACTTCTGTCTGCTGAATTATTCCTTTTTTACCATGGAAATTGTTTACAGGGAGTTTCTCTTCATAAGTCATCATTTAGCTTTCTGTAACGACGTCGTCTTACCGTAAAAAAACTAATTACAATCGATACATTCTGTAGGGTACATAGCATTCAAAACTTTTGCTCATTGTTCATCTTGCCATGGAGGGTAATTCATAAGCTGAACCATTGCCTGTATTTGAAACATATATGGACACTTTTTTCTACTTCGGGATCCATTTGAGTAGCTCGGATTCGAGCGTATTTGTCGAAGTCGCATGCTTATATGCAGTTAGATTTGGAAGAAAATCTCGAAATCGAGGGAGATTGCTAAAAACTGATTCTAGATACTGCTGCAGATGGAGTTATCTGGGAAAGCTCTGGGAATTTTTAGATATGATGATGATACTTGGAACTGATGGAGGAACAAATTACTAAAGTTTCCTTGGAATGAATTAATTTGTTAGAGTACCAAAATTTTATTTGATAGTCTGGTTAGCAATCTTGGAATAATTCAGTGAAATCTGCTACTTGTACACATTGTTAGGATAAAGTACATAAATGCTTCCCAACTATAGAGTATTATTTGTTGAGTTTATCGATTATTAAAAGTTTTAAAAAGATCACTTGACTATTTATATGTTCCAAACTCGTCTTTTTCGTTAAAAAATTGACGATCTTATGAGTTGGATGTTAATCTAGTGACTGTAATATGATAAAATATAATCTAAGAATCTCAAACAACTGTACAACTCAGTTCTATGATCATATTTTATCATATCATAGTCAATAAGTTAACGTTTAGTTCAGAAGATCGTCAATTATTTAATGAAAAATGATGATTTTGGAATATATATAAATAGTTGAGTGATCATTTTATAACTTTTAATAATAGAAGGTCTCAACAAAGCAGTGTCCTAAAATCGAAAGACCAATACGTAACTTTTAATAATCAAGAGACCCAACAAAACAATATATTATATTCGAGGACTATTTACGTACTTTACCTTTAAATTTATTATATATATATTTAGATATTATGTTGTTTTCAATTCTCATATATATAATTAGATGAAAAAATTATATAATTCCCCCTTTGTATAATTCTTTTTTTATTTTTGATTTACTATCGTCTTTTCTTTTGTCTTGGTCTTAAATTATGTAAACATTGAAAATTTCTTTTGGAATACCTCAATAAAGGCATCTACTTTTAAAAAGTACAATCTACATGACACGCTTTTATATATATATATGTAAAACAAGATATTAGGGTAAATTATGTATCCAGTTTTTAGAAAATCAATTTTAGTCCGTTTTAATACTTAAATTTTTAATGTTTTCAAAATCATACTTAACGTTTAGTTTTTATTTTATTTTAGTATCCCGTTAAAAACTTAACGTTAAGTTTTGAAAAAATTGAAAGTTTAAGTACTAAAACGGACCAAAACTGATAGTTTAGGTATTAAACGCGTTAAGTTTTTAACGGCGGGATACTAAAATGAAACAAAAACTAAACTTTAGATATAATTTAAAAAAAAAAAATTAGGTACTAAAACAGACCAAAATTGATAGTTTAGAAACTAAACGCGTAGTTTACCCAAGATATTATTCTCTTAAATAAATATATTAAATAAGTATAACTCCCATAAATTTATCTTGGGTTCCATATTAAAATTCCCATAAGTTTACTTACCTTTCATCACTGAATAATTATCAAATAAATGCTAAACAATTAAAAACTGAGATATTATTTCCTTTTTTATTGATATTATTGAATAATATTTATTATTTCCTTTTTTATGAAATGCATATTATTTGCAGCCCATTAATCAACAAAGGTTTACGAAAAGTTAAATATAAAGAAAATCTTAGGTTTAAACTTCAATGCATGCAAAGTGTCTTGGAAAGCTTCGGAAACCAAGATATGAACCCTAAAATCACGATTAAAAAGGGTAAATTACACGCTTACTCACTGAACTTTACTCTCTCTCCTATTTCACTCACTGTACTTTTAAAATTTTTAATTTTCTCACTGAACTTTAAACATTGAACTTTTTTAGTCACTCGACCGTTAAAATTCTAACGTTGTTAAATTAAAATTGAAAAAAATTAAAAGTACAATGAGTGAAATAGGAGAGAGAGTAAAGTTCAATGAGTAAACGTATGACATGTTTTATTATTAAAATAAGCCACATGAGCACCCTGTTACTGAGTAAACGGTCGAGTGACCCAAAAAGTTTAATGTTTAAAGTTCAGTGAGAAAATTGAAAAAATTAAAAATACGGTGAGTGAAACAGGAGATAGAATAAAATTCAGTGAGTAAACTTGTAATTTATCCTTAAAAAAGGCATTGATCGGATCTTCCAAAATAAATCAGGCATTAATTTAACCTGCCGAACTAAATCCGATCACCGCCTTTTCTCTCCCTATAAAACCCTACAATTAGAACACAAACACACGTACCAAAAACATGGCTCGGTCATCGTCTAGCCACGCCAGCAATTATGTGGAGCCGACGATTGGGGAAAACGGTTTCCCGGGACGAAATCAATGGCAAGGCACTACACCTGAACAGGAACGATGTGGATGCGATCATCAACCCACATTTGTCGGAGGGACAGATCGCGATGCTCGGAAGAGGCGAAATCATTATAATTCCGGTCATCGACGACGGAACTAAAGCTTTCTTCTCGTTGAAGATGGTGGAGCCTGGTTTTGGCTATTTTCTGAGTGGAAAAGATATCTCGAAGATGATTAGAAAGAGTATTTTCATTGCTGATTCTGAGGTATTTTTTTAAGGAAAAAAAACCAGAAATTAATAAATAAGTCATACATATATAATCGTTCCCAATAATATAATATTATATAGATTTCATATTAACACTAATAATTAAAATACATTAATCTAGAAAACGTATGTGTAAATATGTACTACAATTAGATCATATATTATTAATAGAGTCTGTTAGAGAAATACATGATTTTGGGTTAAAGATTTAAAAGTTCTAACACGAAACAATTTATCTCGGTGGTTAAAGTAATCATTGTTGTTTTAGAGGTCACGAGTTTAAACACCAACGACTGCAGCAGGGTGATTAATTGTTTATTATCAAATGATTAAGGGTATCTAGAATAGATATTACTTTATAATATTATCTTAGCTTAACAAAAATAATAATTAAAAGTTATATTAAAAATTTAATAAGGATACAACAACAATAACAACAAAACACAATTCCCATATGCAATGGGATAAGGGGAGGTAGGGTAGTAGGCTGCCCCCAACGTCAGATTGAGAGTAACTTTCGTGGAAGACTTCCGGCAGTTAGAGAATTATATAAAAGTTTAATTTTTTATAAGTGTTATCAATACTTTAGGGTCGCAATATTCACTCGACTATTTTCGTAAGGAGTTAGTGTCTTTAGGTATTGTTTTTGTTCCCAGTTCACATAGGAGAATGCAGGCACCGCCATCAATACAAATAGGGTAAATTACGCATTTAATAATTAAACTATCAATTTTAATCGTCACTTTATTACTTGAATAAAATTAATTAAAAATGTCACATCAGTTCTATCGTTAAGTTTTTAAAGGTGTGATACTAAATTAAGATAAAAACTAAACGTTAAGTATGACTTTGAAAAAAATTAAAAGTTTAAATACTAAAACTAACCAAAACTGATAATTTTAGGGCTAAATACCCAGTTAATTGAACTTTGAACAAAGTCATCAGTGGACGAGTAGTGATCTAAAATATGTGTACATAGAAATTGAATAAGTGAAGGGACAGTAGGGTTTTGAGTTCTTAACAATTTATATTAAATATGATCAGATTATTATTTCAATACAAATAGGGTTTAAGAAATTGATCAGATTATTGTACTTCGAAAATTATCTATATTCAAATTAATTTAAAATAGGAACATCAGTTTCGAGACGAAATTGATATACATAAATACGACTATAAATGAAATAAGATTTTAGATAATGAGATTTAAGATCGATTCGATTAAAACTCAATAAATATTAAACTCAAACTAAATTAATTGATTGATACTCGATTCAAAAATATTACAAGCAACTCAATTATATATATATTAAGATTTTATTTTTAAAAAATAAATTATTAATAATATTAACATCTACGTGTTAATTTTTTTTTTGAAAAAATACAAAATAAAATTTCATTTAAGTTTTAAGTTCAATTTTTTGATTTCAATCGAAAAAGAATTTAAGATATTTTTTCAATTTAAGTTTTTTCGAATTTTAATTTATGATTTCGAGTTCGAATTAAACTTAAAAAATTTAAGAATTTTCTAATCAAACTCAACAATACTCAAGTTCGAATATCCTCATTTACTGCCCTAGGCATAAAGAACCGAATGAAAATCAGAGCAAATACTTCCAATTTTCTTTTCAAGAATCTCATATCGCATAAGGAATTTTACTCGAGGCAAAATCCAAAACATCGACAATAAACATAAAAGTCAGAAACATCGATCAAAGATCCACCATAACATCAATTATGTTCGAAAATTCCTAAAACTACAAATAACCCTCTGTCCTCAAACGAGCTCACATCATCATCCCTATTTCTCCCCACTTGATAATGAAAATTTTAAATCCGACTGAGCTGAAAATGAAAAATGCAGCACAAGTACTGACATCCCCTCTATTCGAATGTGTCATCGTCTTCATCTGGAAGAGGCTGACTGGCTGCCGCTGCAAGCTCAGCCTCGTGCCTACGACAAACCAATCAATCAACACACATGTTAATAAATGCCTCCTAATCCAGGTAAACTAAAAGATAAAACCGAAAAAAAAGTAACACGAGGATTATTATCATACTGTTGCTGGGCAGCCAAGTCGATGTGAACTTCGGGAGGAGCAAGAGCAGGAGACTCAACAAAATGAAGACTGGGGTCACTGAAGTAATCAAAGCATTATCGATATTAGGCGTCAACCAATGGATTGGCAATAAAGTATTAATCATGCAACAAAGGCCATTTCATATTACCCAGCAAGCTTCCTGGCAAGGTACAAGAAAGGCTTCTCAAAATTGTAGTTGCTCTTGGCAGAAATTTCGTAGTATTGCAGGTTCTTCTTCCTGTGGAATGTGACCTGCTTTGCCTTAACCTGCCTGTTCTTTACATCAACCTTGTTACCGCAGAGAACAATAGGAATATTCTCACACACCCTGCATTAGCAAAACAAAATTGTTACATAAAGCTGTTGCACATAATCCATAAAGAGGAGAAGATTGCCAATCCTAACACACCTGCAAAGATCACGATGCCATGTAGGAACATTCTTGTATGTCAACCGGGCAGTAACATCAAACATAATAATGGCACATTGCCCATGGATGCTGCAAACACATTATAAAAAAAATAGTAAGAAAATCACTCAACAATGCAAATTAGCTTTAACATAGGCTGACCAAAACAATAATGGTCATAAAAAGTTAAGGCATAAGCCATAAGCCAACCAATACAGAGAGCTAAACATGACAGCTCAAAACCCCAACTAAAAATAAGAACAACATAAAATGCATACAATAACAATAACAGTACATTCATTCGGCATTACTCATCAATAATGGCAGATGACTCAACAATTAATCGAAAAGGTGCAGCAAGTCATAAAATGACTTACTAGTAACCATCTCTGAGACCACCAAACTTCTCTTGCCCAGCAGTATCCCAGCAATAAAACCGGATTTTCCCACAGTTAGTGAAGAAGTCCAATGGATGAACCTCAACTCCAATGGTTGCTGCACATTCAAAAACGACAAAGCGCACAAGTAAACATTTATATCAAGGCACTCAACTTGCTCAAAGAGTAACAAAACCAGAACAATGCTCTTAAAACACTTACGCTCATACTTCTTTTCAAACTCTCCAGTTAAATGCCTCTTCACAAAAGTGGTCTTTCCTGGCACCAATCACAAAAGGTTAGAGCAATACCAAAACAATGAGAAATCATTTACTCAGGTTCTATAATTAAAACAAAAGCTGAAGACTATAAATATATATTCAAGAGTAAACAAACATATTTATTACAATGTTAAAGGTATACAGATCAAAAGACGTGGAGATGGAAAGGTATAATAATACTCTATTTTAACTTACTATATCCTTCAATTCAAAAACTACAGCTATTAGCATCAACTAATACTAGTTCGATCTTTCAATCAGTTAACCGTATCGAAAGAAATCCTTGTAAATCGAATCTACGTGCAAAGTAAAATGAAATTACCAGTTCCTCCATCGCCGACGACGACGAGCTTGAAGCTCGGATAATCAACAGTTTGCTGATTAGGCAACGCCTGCACAATGAATCAACAACAAAAAAGAAAAATCAAGATCTACCTCGAAACTAAAACTACAGATTACAGTTAAGATATCGAAACAACAATGGATATAAGCAAAAAAATTAAGAGAGAGAACGAGGATATCACCATCGATCGCTAAGCAACAAAGAGAGGATAAATGAATCTGCAAATCTTGCGTTTGTTTGGCGAAACGAGAGGTATCGCAGCGCGAGTTATTTTGGAAACGGCGAAGGCAAAGGGTTTTTATAAGAGCGAGGGCTTTTGTGGAGTCTTAGAGCTCTTTGGTCTTAGTCCCCGGCTTTAAATTGACGCAACTCTTTGTGCCGTTGGATTGGATTAATCTCCACCATTCTTCTTTTATCATCTAAATCCTCTCCGCCGTCCGATCATTTCTCCGTTAGGGTCCACTTCCATTATGCCGCGCTAATGCCTTTTTTTGGATTTTGATTTTCGAGGGAGCGGAATGGCAATTAGTAAATATCATTTTGGGCATTTTATAAAAGAAACGTATGTCATTTGCTAGCTCAAGCTTTATTTCAAAGCAAATTCGAAGTCATTTTATTATTATTTTCCCCTTAGCTATTGATTCTTTGTAATTGAAAAACATTAATTAATTTTTAAATAATTATTTTAAAAATAACATTTTTTAGCATAAATTTAAGGGATTTTTTCTCTATAGTAAACTCAATTTATCATTTTTCGCTCGTATGATTTTTTCATCAAATTAACCTTTAAAGTTGTTTAGGGGCATCATCTCAACCCTCGAAGTCCGTTGATCGTTTTACCTAACAAAATCGTGAGTCTTATGTATTTATGTATTAAGGGGTTATGTTTAAAATATTTACTAAACACAACGATTACAAAAAGTTTTTCGAAATCTTATTATTTATTTAAACGAAAATAAGGGATTAGGTTAAAATTTTATTTTAAATATTTTATTTATTAATAAATATCACTTAATTATCAAGCCACGTCATTAATATTGACTGACGTGAAAATTGTTGGCGTCAACAAATACAAAAGACTAACAGTTCTGTTAGTCAAAACATACTTCAAGGATTAAAATGATACACTTAAGCAACTTAATTGATTAAGTTGATGCAAAAAATGATAAAGGTAAAATTGATAAATTCGTTCAACTACGAGACAAAAACAATCCTTAAGCCTGTTGAATAATATATTGTACTTATAAGATAATATATATAGATATTATTTTTTAGTTATTACAATACACATATTCTAAATACGTAATTGTTTGAGGCTAAAATTTATAGATAAAACATTATTCTTTTTAACCATTAATATGACTTAATCCTTTTACCCATTGATATTACTTAATAGATTAGAGCGATATTAAAATAATTAAAAATTATATATTTATAATTTTTTTAATCATCGATATTAATTTATTATTTAATTAATCTGTTTCAAATATTATAAAAATATATTAGGAAGATGATTTTTCTAATTCTAGTTGTACCATAAATTCATATCATTAATTGGCTCAATATTATTAGCCCTAAAACAGCCTATCGAACTGTGGGCGAAAAAAAAGTCGGGCAAGAATTTATTTATGCTATTCGATCTTTTCATCTGGATCACGGGTAAACTCGCCATCTTGACTTCCGGCTGAACGTATGTCGCCTCCCAAACCTCTCGAAATAATTTATTCAAACTCCTCCATGGCCAGCCCTTCCGATAACTCTAATTCGTAAGTCTTTTCAATAATTCGTCAATATTCCATATATTTTGTTGGCTATTTGTCGACAATCTTTCGTTTTTTTTTTGAATTCTCGCAATAGATTCTTAATAATTCTATTTCAATACGTATTAGCAGGGAAGTTGTTTATAGGAGGCAAAACAAAGGACCCCCTTTCAAGTTCCTAGTCCCTTTAGTTTATGCCCCTGTTCTCCCTTTAAGTAAGTCTAGAATCTCTCTTTTTTTCCCCCACTCGGGTGATTTTGATCTCTGGGTTTCGTTTCTCAGATGTTAATCTTGTATGGGTTGTTTTTTTTTTCGTGTTTCAGTTCGACTTTCTTTGAGGAAGAACCCGGTTTTAAGGGATCGGCTGTTTACTATTGTGTTGGCTGGGGCTTTTGTTCACGGTTCTTATTTAGTGTATCCTCGTTCTATCAAACTTATTTGTTTTACTTACTATACCTGATTGTTGATTCTCTGTTTTCTTTTTTCATCTGAATCATTGGTGCTTAAACTATTGAGGCTGCATATTCTTTTGTGTGCTTAAATTATTGTGTGGATATCTGGTTTTGAGTGCTTAAACTATTCTTTTGTGTATTGTCTAAATTCGGAATTGGTGCATTGTGCAAGTCATATAGCACAATGCATTTGTGGATGTTAATGCATTGGTAAACTGGATGTTTGGCCCAACACTTGGTGCTTGTATCCTCCGGTTTTAAATGTCTTGGTGCTTGTATCCTCCGGTTTTAAATGTGTTATACCTTCGAAGATATTTCCAGGAGATTACCTCCGGAAATAGTATTTCTGACCCGGAGTCTCATACCACTGAATGACTACAGCCTCACAATTCGACCTTTGACAGTACAACAATTACAACAATTATAACCTTTGACAGTACTATTACTTATGAAAATAACCACAAATAATCTAAATGGTAAAATTCAGACCTTATATATATGCCGTCACCTAAATTCATACTTTGTAATCAAATAAACGACAATTTGTTTTATGTATATTCCAATTATTTGTTCTCTTCTACTTTGGTAATCATGCTTCTCTATATGTATGTTTGTTCTAATCACTAGAAACACTTGTATATATCGTATTGTCGATATGTTCCTTGAGCTCTGCTTTATTTTCCTTAATAATTTGTTGTTTTGGTAATCATGCTTCTCTATATGTATGTTTGTCCAAATCACTAGAAACACTTGTTGTGGATATCGTCTTGTCGTTATGTTCCTTGTGCTCTACTTTATTTTCCTTAATAAGTTTTCAGGTCAGATCTATACGATGCTGAGAGCAAGTGAACATGCAGAGAGTTTGGCTTGAGGAACTGATTTTTATCCCTTTAATAAGCATTCTTATTTTATGGCATAGAACAAGTTGAGTATTGTATTCTTCTCATTCCCTCTATTGAGGAATGATAATTGTATCTCGCAGTTATAATTCATTTCGATTTTGAGGAGAAATAAGATGGGGTGAGCTGCTTGTTAAACTCGAGATTGATCTGCAGCAGGTCATACATACACATTCGGAGTTGTTAAGTTTTGATGTTCTAAAGTAAAACATTACGATCCATACATTATGCATTACTGATCTGCATCGTTTTCGAGTATTTATTTCGTATCATATGCATGAAAAATTCGGGGTTCGGGTGTGTCGATCCAGAGAAGAAAACGAGATGGGAATCAAGTGGCTGGGTTAGTTGTGTGTTGGACCATAGTGTTAAAGTGCTCTTGGCATGATTCTTGCTTTCGTTTTCAGTAGTTCTTTCACTCGATTTTCATGTTTACAAAAAAAAATTGCGACCACTTGGGTTTTGTTGTTTTTAAGAGAAACCCTTAAAGATTTCAAAGGGGCATGCTTTCGACAACCCTGTTTTCTGCACTCTTTTCCCCTTTCGTGAGCAAAGCATTACTTAAGAGCTGCAAAACTCGACTCGAAAAACTAGATTTTCTCGACTCAACCTAAGAAAAATCACTTGAATTGACTTTCAGTTATAATTTCATAAATTGGACTTTATTAAAAAAATCAATTTCAAATTGAGTTGTGAAATACAATTCAAATAACTCGAATATTAATTTGAATAAATCAAAGTTTTTAGTTAGTATATTAATTTTTAAGTTTGAGTTGAGTATCTTAAATTTATATGATATATGTATATAATGAATGAAAAAATACATATATATTTTTATATAGTTATGAAAAAACATTTAAATTAAAATCAAATAATATCATAATGCTATAAATATTTACAATTAAATTTAAATAGAAATTCAAAATTTTAACTTGAATTTTATAAACTCAATTCAACTCGAAAAAAAATTTCAAGTCAGCTTTAAATTATAAAATAAAATTCATAACTCAAATAACTCAAAATATTTTTAATTTACTATACTCGATCGAATGTTCACCTATGTTAACCATAAAAACTTTGAATGGACAAAGAACGAGATGCACGCCTGTCACGCAAATATACATTAAATTTAGCGTATACAAACAACAGGAACCAGCTAAGTTTGATGGAATCATATTAAGAAAAAAGCATGAAAAGCCTGGATTCAGCATATTCTTCTTGTTGATACCTTAACGTCCTATTTTCTTATTGAAGATATTTGGAGATTCTTATGATGGCCTATGATCAACTACGATGGTAGCATAGTTTTTAGAATCGGACCGGTCAGTGAACTGGTTGTACTATCAGTTTATTGGTTCAACCGATCAAATTGATCAGACCGGTCGAAAGAATTGGACGACATCATAATTAATTAATTATTTAAAAATTAAATAAAAATATAAAAAATATTTAATAAAAAACAGTTTTTTATATCATAAGTCATATTCAAAGCAATTTATAATATATATAAGTTAAAAACCATAAAATCAAGTGAAACAAAATAATTCAAATCAATTACAACATAATATTTAAGGTAAAACATATTCAATAGTAAATATAATTATATAACTATAATAAAAAAATAAATTTGGAGCTAAAAAATCATAACAAACGATGTCGTTTGGTTTAATTTTTTTTTTAAAAAAATCTCACATGGCTAAGAAACATAGAAGAGCATCACAAAAGTCTAAAGAGTAAAAATATTAAAACAAAACAATCTCACATTGCTAAGAAACATAGAAGAGCATCCCAACTGACTTCTATAAATAATAAAAGTAATTTGACAGTCAAAATCATGAAGCTTTTTGGTGAGCACAGAGTGAACTATTCTTTCGCTTCAATCGAACTCGAATTTTAGGCTTCAATCGAGCTTCTAAAATTTTATTGAGTTAGAGCATTTTTGAGTTCAAATTTCAATATTATATTTCAAATTCGAGTTGAACTTGATAATTTTTAACTCGTGAGTTTTTGAGTCGAGTTAAACTTACTTTTAAAGTTTTCGAGTTCGACTCTGCTCGAACAAACGACGTAGTTTAATTTAATTTTTTTTGAAAAAAAAAACCAGCTTTCAACCATTCACGGTCCGGTTCAACGGTTTCTTTCGGTTTACTAATAACGATTTAATCGGTGTAAAATGAATCAAATCAGACAACGATTCTCGATTGAATCGATCGATCCGGACCGATTTTCAAAACGATGGTAGATCTGAGATTCCAAACAAGAGAAAACAACAAATTCAACATCTATGCAGTGTAAGAGCAATTCTAATATGCAAACTACTCCATTAGGCACGACAATTCTACACCGGATATTCAGTAATTTATTATTTAAACAAATTCTTTCATCCCTTAAAACAGAGCGAGAGAGGGAGGGAGAGAGAAGGACATACAATTTATATTTCAACCATGAAAAAGAGAGGTTCAAAATATAGCACTGAATCGCCAGTCACGGAGCAGAATGATCCTTGAAATCGGAAGCGAGTCGGGAAGCGATAGCTGAATGGTACATAACGTCGTGAAACGATGACGTTGTGGTAGTCATCATACGGAGTTGCCTGGCCTTGTCTTCCGTGAATCGACCCGGAGGAAACCTTGCTCTCGTCGATTTTTGTCCCGCGTCCGTTTCCAATTCGCCTCGTCTTGTTTTCCTCGGCTCGTTTTCGGAATCAATGTAATCGGGATCGGATGACACTCCAAACAGCGGCGCAAACCACCAGGTCGAGGAAGACGGCACGGTACTCTTCCGGCGGTCGGAGTGAGGTTTAAGGTGGCCGGGAACAGCAAAGGCGTTGAATCCGGTGGGGCGAAAAGCAAGAAGATGATTAGCCATCAAGAATTATGGAGAAGAAGAAAATTAGGGATTCTGGAATTGGGAGAAATTTCAAGAGCAGCTGACAAGTGAGAATGGAGGACTGAGTTTTCAGGTCACTGAGCTAATGCTTATATATTTAATACTATCATATAAAAGATGGGTGGGGTAACGGATAAGTCGGTAAAAGGTGGAGGCGACTGGTCGGGTTCGGTTCTCCTCTCTCTTTACCGGATGGTCCGGTCAACCTTCGGTCTGATTTTATGGGCCCCGGGATGGATGTGATGGTGATGGCTATACCATTAGACCAGGCTATTTTGCATGATTCGGCCTGCTTGGCTGTAAGGGGCGGGCTTTAGAGCTTGTCGGTCGGCTTTGTATCAGACAAGTGCATGCAGCCCGCCCCCATCCAAATTTGATCTTTTAGTTTGAACTGAATAATATAATGGTAAAATTTTCCTAATATCATAGGCATGTTAATTATTTAACATAATACAATACAAAGTATTTAGAGATCAACAACATTTATTGTAATGATTTAAAATTTTTCATATTCACGTGACGAGTTTAAATAAAAATATTATTTGAGTAAATTCGCCAAGTCAACGTGGAGAGTTACCATGCACTGTAATATTTACTGTATATTGCAAAATAAATCCAAACTGACCTATTAGACTAATTAATTTTTCCGCCTGACCTAATCGGCAAAAAAACCATAATATATTTGTAGCCCAATGAAAAAATACATGATTTCAATACGTATGTTCCATGATTATATCAATTTTAATTATTACTTGATAAAACAAATCTTGGTGACTAATTATATAATTGAATTAATTTAAGGGTAGAGTACATAAATGGTCTTCCGACTATAAGATGTTGTTTTATTGAGTCCCTTAACTATTAAAAGTTACAAAAACGGTCCCCTGACTATAGGGAATTGCTTTGTTGAGTCCATCTACTATTAAAAGTTACAAAATGGCCATTTGACTTACTCATTATGTTCCAGACTTATCTTTTTCTATTAAAAAATTAACGGTCATCTGAGTTGGACGTTAACATGCTAACTGGGATATGATAGTAGTTTGAGATAATGAGATCAGATTTTATCATATCTCAGTTAGCATGTTAACGTACAACTTAGACTGCTGCAAATTTTTAAAGGAAAATTACGAGTTTGGAACATAATGAATAATCATATGGTCATTTTGTAACTTTTAATAATCAACGGACTTAACCAAACAAAACCCTAAACCCTAAATATAGTCGAATCGAAGAGTTATTTTACGAAGGACTTAATAAAACAATATACTATAGTCATAAGAACATTTATGTATTTTACCTTTACTTTAATTTAATTTAATTTAAGTCAAATAATATTTCTTTAGACTTTACATGAATATAGGAGATCTTAATAAACTGAGATGTTTGAAGGTTGAAGTTTAAAGGACATAAAGTCGAGCACTTTCGACATTCAAGAAGAATGGAATCATTTAAATGGAGAAAGGTGGAATTTTGAAGACAAAGGGACGACACTATCATTAACCTTCCCATTACATTGGATGCGTTGTCTTAATTCCCTTTGCTCAATCGAACTTTGTCTTAATTTTTCAAACAAAAAATAATATTCAAATTATAAAAAAATATTTTATTTTGATTTTGATTTACATGTATGAAAATCTCTAAAGGTGAATTTAGATTAAATTTTTTTAAATTTTGGGGAAATGTATGATCTTTTAAAAAGATAATTATACAATAAGTATAATGAAAATGATATAGGGTAAAAGTAAACGAATGATCTCTTGATTATAGGGCACTATTTTATTAAGTCTCTCGACTATTAAAAGTTATAAAATAGTCTCTCAACTATAGAGTGTTGATTTGTTGAGTCCCTAGACTATCAAAAGTTATAAAATGGTCACTCGACTATTCAATATGTTCCAAACTCCTCCTTTTTCGTTAAAAAGTTGACAGTATTATGAGTATAATGTTAACTTACCGATTATGATATGATAAAATCAGTTCCTAGAATCTCAAACATTTATCACATCACAATCATCATGTTAACGTTCAATTTAGACAACCACCCATTTTTTTAATAGAAAGCACGAGTTTGTAACATAATGAATAGTTATGTGACCATTTTGTAACTTTTAATAGTCAAAGGACTTAACAAAACAACATTCTATAGTCGGAAGATCATTTTGTAACTTTTAATAGTCGATTGACTTAATAAAGTAGTACCCTATAGTCGGGGATCATTTGTATACTTTACCCAAATATATAATGTGATATGAATATTACTATACATGTAAAAAATAATAATTTTAATAATATAAAATATAAAGCACAACATTAACATTGAATAAACGATAAATAAACTAAAAACACCTACACATAAAATAATATAATTGCTATATAACTATTCATTAATCATAAAAGAACATATCTGAGAGCTCTTATTAACCAACTAGCTTTCTTATTATTCTTCTTCTTCTTTTTCTTTAATAGAAAACCATTAGTTTTATTAAAAATAGAAAATATCCAGAATTACAATGAAGATTTACAAGCATAACCGTAAACATAAACGAAATTATAATGAGGACATCTTCCTATAACCATTGGCACAAAAACTAGCCACTTGTATCACACAAAGAAAAAAAAGATTAAAAAATATAACCAATGCTCAAACAAAATAAAGATGCGAACAAATCTGATTGCATCGGCAAAGGAACCACAAAAGAGGATGAAGTTACTGAAGACCACTGACAAATTGCAAATCAGAGTCAAGCGACATGAGAAAACTATCTACGAATGCAAAAACACGTATCCAAATTAATTCGAGGGTCCAAAGTAGAGAAGATCATCATTATAACAAATAAGCGTCATCTTGATCAGTCGTGACAATGTCAAATCCAACCCTGAGAAAAAAGATGAACGAAAACAATGAAAAAAACCGTAAGCTGATGGGTTTACTACCGGGTTCTTCAAGGAAGTTTGGGATATTCTTGGATTAGATGTTTGTGTTGCAGTTAATTTTTTATTTAGTTCTGCTACATTACATAATGCTTTTAACTCAACTGCAATTACTATTGTACCTAAAGTGCCAAATCCTATCATGGCTAGAGATTATAAGCCCATTTCATGTTGCTATATAGTTTATAAGGCAATTACTAAAATTTTTGTTGCTAGGCTTGTTCCTTTACTCCCTTGAATGGTCTGTAACATCCGCAATATCGGGTTAGTGACCAAATTGTAAAGTTTTAGAATTTGGTGACTAAAGTAGAAGAATGAAAGAATTCAATGATTATTTGAATATATATTGAAGGTTATTTGGTAATTATTAAAGGAAATTAAGGGTATTATGGTCATTTGACCAGAAAGATTTTTTATAATTTTTTTTAAGGGTAATAAGCACGTATGAAGAAGAGTCCAGAGCATTCTTCAGTCTTCTTCTTCCTCCTCTCCACCGTGAAGCTTGGGATAAGGTAAGTGAGTCTTTAGTTGGTTAATTCTTTCGTTTTAAAGCTTGTTGTGATTCTTGGGATATTAAGAAAGATTAAGGAAAGCTTTAGGGGGCTTAAACCTCAAAGATTAACAAGTTATGAGAAATTAAGAAAAATGAGTTTTTAAGTGAATTTTTGATATGGAAGGAGTTAATAGATTGTGAAGTTGAATTTGACTTGTCAAGGATTAAATTAAGAGGTAGGAAGTGTTAGAATTGGAATTAGAACACATTGGAAATTTGGTATGATTTTTGAATCTTATATGGAAGATAGAATTTTGAGGTTTAAGATGAAATAAATGAATATAGATTGGTTTAAGTATGTGTACTAGAGTTAAGGATGAAAGGGGATGATATATGAAGTGTTTGAGAGGAAATGAAGTAATTTTCGGGTTGAAAATATGATTTCTGGGCAAGGGGAATCGGTACCCATTCAAGGGGAACCGATACCCCTTCAAACGAACAAGAATTTCCAGTATGTCATAGGGGAACCGATACCCCCATGGGGGGGAACCGATTCCCCTAAAGGAAAATTGGGGATATGGATTTTATAAGTTCGTTTAAATTGATAGTATCCAATTACAAGGTGTAGGTATCTAATGATGGTCTCGAAATGTACATTTATGTAGATTCTACGCATAAAGCAATTCTGGAATGTTTAGCAAGTAAGATCGATCAAGGGAAAGATAGAGATTGGATTTGGCTAGTGAGGCCAGGTGAGTGCATATTAGTTAGTTGATGGTGCTAAATGGAAACAAGACTTGCGACAAGTCTATTTCCTATGTTAGAATGCATGAATATATGATTATACGTATATGAATGACATGAATTGTATGTATGCATGAATATGTGTTGACATGCTTTTGAATGTAATGTTATGAGAAGTATGTGCTATATAAGGTATATATATATACATATGTGAAACTGAACTATGTGACTGCATGAGAAAGATATGAGCCATATGACATGATATAGGTGAACATGAGAAAGCAAAGTATGAGATATAAACTATGTGATCATAGTAAAATATAATTATATTTTTATATGATAAGTGAAATAAACTGGATAATATTGATCTATAGGATGAAGTGAAAATAGTACACCAACTAGGGGATTTGAACATAAATGATAAGATGAACGTATAAGATAAGCTAGATGGGAAAGAGTCATAGGTTTAAATAAAACTATAACACATGGGTTGAATGATAGAAATTTGTGAAGTTATATGAGAAGATTATAAGAGCTATAAGAAATTGAATTAAGTAACAGATTAGATTATATATAGAAATAATAGAAGTGAGATATGTTTATAAGTCTGCCCTAGATGAATACGAAATATAAGAGTGCTATATGATTTATATTAGGATAATCTTGAGGATATATATATATATAGATAGATATGAAATGAAATGAGTTATATGAATACCCAATTATGTGATGAAATGGTGAATTACCTGAACATGTGAATATATATGTTTAAGAGAAGGCATACGATTAAGATATAAGCAATGTGACTATAAGTATATGTGCTTTAAGTGATATGACTTATAATATTTCTATTATAATGTTACATGATATGTTATGTATGTTA